ATGTGTGTGTGTGTGTGTGTGTGTGTGTGTGTGTGTGTGTGTGTGTGTGTGTGTGTGTGTGTGTGTGTGCTTGCTCATTCTACCCCCTTCCACTGTTTTCTTTTTTTCCTACTTACGCTCACTCTTGGGGCCCACAATGTCTCCACAGGTCAGCCACCGTGGATACAATGATAAGAACTTGTGGGTGGCCTTCAACACTCAACCCAATGTCATGCCCCTTTCCGCCAAAAGCTGCTCCGACAAATGGCATTGCTTGAACGTTTCACAGAGGTGTGTACGCCTACAGACTCACCATCACTACCACCACTACCACAACCATCATCATCATCATCATCATCATCATCATCATCATCATCATCATCATCATCATCATCATTATCCTAACCATCATCATCATCATCATCATCATTATCATCATCATCATCATCATTACCATCATCATCATCATCATTTTCATCATCGTCGTCATCGTCGTTGTCGTCGTTGTTGTAAGTACGAAAATAAAAACAAAACGTAAATGGAAACATGAGGACTATTTCTGAAATTGTATGACTTTATAAAAGAAATATATTCGACGTTTCGCCATTTTAAGCTTTATCATCATCATCATCATCATCATCATCATCATCATCATCATCATCATCATCATCACCATAATAATCATCATCATCATCATTGCTGTTCTTGTTGTCGTAGTCGTCGTCGTCGTCGTCGTTGTCGTCGTCATCGACACCACCAATGAGAGGTATAACAATATTGTCTAAAACAAGAAAACAGAATTTAGATACCACTTATTTAACTGATCTTCATGGGTGGGGGGGGGGCATGCGAACAATACTACTATAACGCCAAAACATTACTGGGAAAATTGCGACATTGCGAAGTGCAACTGTGAAGCATCCTATTTGTTTTGGGTTTTTTCAACCAGTCGTGTTATTTGCCTAAGAGAGAAGTTAAAGCCGTGTCACTGACATTATTATTACTTATTATTGTGTACCTGAACTTACTAACCTCTCGGCTGCGGCTCAGAAGAATATAATTAGTAATATTCTGTCTTTTTTCCTTCATTCCTTCGCTCCTTCTTTTTTCTTTTCTTCCTTCTGCAGTTCCTTCGACCTCCTTTTTCAATCCCCGAACCCATTTCTTAACGTTCAAGGTGACCTTGCAGAACCACTGTCTTTCATTCAAAGAGCAAAACCGAATTGTTAGTGCTATCGAATTGCATAGAGGCAAAGAAGACATGTAGTATGACGTTGCTAACACCCCCCCCCCCCTCAAAAAAAAAACAGGGGAAAAAAACAAACAAAACACGTGGTTTACGAACTCAAGCATAATTAAATATATTTCCTGGATCCTTCCCTTCTTTCGGCCGTTCACTGTTTATAGGTTTCTCGTTCCTCTGTATTAACTTATGATGTAGATCTACGTTATATTTTCCGTATTAAAGGTGAATATAAAGTATGTAATAAGGATATGTTTCCATTACTGCTTTCTTTAGCTTCCATACTTTCATTGGTGCATTTACATGGATGTCTTCCATTCGCCCAGTAATCCAAACAGCACTTATATGACCTTGTTGTGTTGCAAGTGCCGTAAAACTCTTACAAAAACTAAAAATCTTTTATTGATTTTTTGTTAATCAGTCGTTCATTCACTTATCTTCCTTAGCTCATCTTCTCTTAAAATTTAATCCCTCGTTCACTTACCTTTCATTCAGTCATTCTGGTATAAATCGTGTTCCTGCTATCTGTTCATCTTTGTTCAAGTCCATGCCTCATGATTCAGTCATTCAATATTCTCTCAATAATCTCACACTCATTCACCATTTATTCGTTCGTTTCTCACTAATGTGACAGTACCGTTTTTGCACCATCTATTCCCCAGAGTATCCTACGCAATACCCCTTGAAATCATCTACATGACCCCTCTCTTGAGCTGGAACCCCCACCACGTTGCTTACACTGGCGTGAGTTTTCCTTGCAGAATTTGTGTTTTTTTCTTCTGTTCTGTTATTATGTAAAGAGGTAGATACATGCAAGTGTGCTTACAAGTGTGTGCGCAAGTGTGTGTGTGTGTGTGTGTGTGTGTGTGT